TGCATGCATGCACAAATGTTTTCAATCGACATACTCACACGTGCACAAAGATAATTCAACGATGCGATCATTACTGTATCTTCAACGCCGCCATATAATTTGTGTTCATTATGTACAGTTATTGCAGCATCTGCAGAGTTCAGGTAACCGTTGAGAGGAAGGGGAGCAGGAGGAAGAGGACAGCGCTCCTCTGCAGCCCCCTCTGGTGGAGACAGAGTGAGACGACAGGAATGGTTCAGCTGTGGCACCTCGTACACAGCAGGACAAAGCATTTGGGTTATTAGCGCGATTGATACCTTTAGAAAGTGTGTGAGTCCATAGTGTGCTTGTACATCTTTGTTTTCTACATAATGTAGGTGATACCCGATAAAAGGGAATGAGTGTGTAGTTAGAGTGAGTGTTGAGACTGTTTTGGCAGCTCGGAAAATAATGTACCGAAAGGCCGTAGGGGCCCCCTCCCTAACGTCATTTAATCATTATATCATTACATTATAGTTTACCTTCAAACAGGACTGAGGCAGTTATCTTTAAAGTGTTCTTTGAATCCATGCACGCAGTGCAGCAAGCCGTCCTGTGAGTGAAACGCTCGAACAGACACAATTTGTGTTCTTTCAGATGCAGAGTTGAAGTGGATCGAAGCCCTCCAGCACTGACAGACATAAGGGACAGTGGGATGTCTGTGTCTGTCTGTGTGTGTGTGTCTGTCTGTGTGTGGAGGACGAGTGGAGACTGCGACTGAGAGCCAAACGTCTGCATTCCACGGCTCCTCTGGCACCGTCCGGAGCGCTGCAGCGCGTTTATTGCAGCAGCTGAATGTGCAGGAAGCTGCTCGGCTCCTTTACTCACCGAGTGCTGCCAAAGTGGTTTCACTGTCTTCAACTGGCCTGATGTTTCACTGACGAGGACGATCGCCGCTGCTTGTCATTGTGAGATCAGAGTGCAGAGAAACTGTTCACTGTGGAGCTTCTAAGCGGAGGGAGAATCATTAAAACCGCAGTCCCGTCACTTGATACCTCCCAACCCCCCCGTGGCAGTACTGGTCCTATATCTCATTGCTTCTCAATTAAGTTGAAAGCTTGCAGCTTGCAAGTGCAACAGTAAATAAATCAACCCAGCGAAGGCTCAAAGACTGTCAATCAATTATCCCATTAGTGAAGAACCTTCCCCAAACAGCCCTCGTTGTTCTTGCCTGTGATTACCGGCTCAAAGCGGACCAGCGCGTTCTCATCTAGTCCGGGATAACAAGGCCCCAAACCAGCTGTTTTCTCTTGCGTGCAGAAGCATTAACTTAACAACAGAGCCAGGGGTGATCCGCTATTCTCTTTGCAGAGCAATCAAGGGAGCCTAAATGGGCTTATCGCGATAATGAGCGTGCACGCGCCACGCCCTGACACGCGAGATCGCTCTCTCTCTCCCTCCCTCCCTCTCTCTCTCTCTCCCGCTTTGAAGAGAACAAACACGTCGGTGAAAACTTTTAAGCCTTCCCTCTCTGTTTCTCTCCCTCAGATATGTTGCGAGAAGCAAACAAATCTCGCTGCCGAACTCCAAAGCGCCGCCGCTCTCCAGTGTGCAAAACTAATCAGCCCGTGTTGCTCGCCCAAGGTCTTCCCGCTCTTTTTGAATGTTTTTTTATTAGCAGTGTTTGGCCCCCACAGTGAGGCAACATGAAAGGGAAAGCACGGGCGCTCCGTCTCTCGCTATTTGTGTCAATCTCGCCTGCTTTAGCGTGTTTACAGAGAGATCAATTCCCCAGCGCCGAGGGGCGGACATTGTCACAAGTGAATAATTTAATAACGGAGCTTGTTTATTTCGTGGTGGTGACGGAATAAATGTATTTTTCGGGTGACATTGACCTTCAGTTGTCAACAGATTTGGAGAGGAAGCATTGAGGCCATGACGTCTCCCCGTCTATCCTCCGCAGTTAAAAATAAATAAATACGTTTAATCATTTAAAATGAGTTCAAAGTTTCCACAGATTCATTTCTACTCCTCTGCAGCATGCGGGCAGCACCGCGCCACTCGGTTGGACCCCTCCCCGCGTATCAAAACTGCCTGAGATTGTCGGGATGTGGGTATCTGCTCCCCGCATGGCTCATCAATGAATTATGGCCCACCGCTTTCCAACAGACGCCGCCGTGTGAGATCTGCTTAGCTGATGAAAAATTACATCAACATCAAAGAAGTCCTCTTAAAAGAGCAAGTTTAGAAGAATTAATATTTGATGGTGCTGAAAGCCCGCATAAGCACACAGGCAACGGGTGCCTGGTAATCTCTTAAGAATATTAAAAGCCTTAATATGCCATATTTACCGATATTAAGGATTAAAACAGCATATAATATGCGTTTAAAAAGCGTTTTGCATATCAAAATACAATTTGGGAGCAGTGATTTAATGGTAAGACTCATTTCAAAAGGCATAGCAGGGGTGGACACAGCAGGCGTCCCTCTGCCCCCTTGTGGTCGGCTTCGGTTACTGCAGGGGAGGAAGGCCGTTCAGACATCATTACGGACCATTTATAAATGACCAGGTTCATTTTTAGGAGTATTGCTCCTCATTATGATGTCTTCTCGATGTGAAGTCTTCTCTTATCTAAACCAAGTACACGTCGCCTCAGATCTCCCTCCTGATGTTGGCGGAACTGCAAACTGCCGTCACGCTAGAGTCTTGTGTTCAGCTCTGGAGGATTCAAAGTTTTATTAATTAATGTCTTTTTGTTTGTCATTAAATGATTCAACCTGTTTGTTGTGTAGTTGTGTTGGTTCTCTTTCACCGATTGTGTTCTCTGGAGGGTTTCTTATTCTTATTACCAGGTCCTGGTGTGAATCTGGGAAAGAGCATAATGTGGCCCAACTTCCTAAACACATTAAATGATGGAAACCGATGCTGTGACCACAGTTGACGGGTTGTTAAAACGAGAACTTCTGTCATCTTTTCAGTCAGATCACATTTTTACCCAAAGTATCGGGGCCCTTTTATGGACACACATCATGACATGTCACAGTAGGAAAACCATAGGTGTAAATAATACATGAACACATGTAAGTGAGTCAGAATGTAAAAAGGTCATCCCTGTGGCTCAGCCCGTGCAGACACGGGACCCACGTTTGAACTGGGGCATCATTTATGTGAGGAAAGATGAATTTTAAGCAGCAAAAGAGCGGTCCGGGGCCGACCTTGAATTCAAACGAGGCCTGAAACAGCCTTTCATTAGCGCGCCGCCGCACCTGCGCAACCAGAGAGAGGCCGCCTCGTCTGAGCGAGTGAACTCAGTAATTCCTCGTACTGTCTTGTGCCCCCGTGATTTAAACTTCTCTGCCTCTCTTTGTTAACTAGCTTCAGCATAATGATGTCGTTTTCTGTGATGTTCCAACACCATGGCTGGAGGCAGGAGTTTAGTCAGCAGCATGCAGGATCAAGAAAAAGAAAATGAAAAAAAGTGAGCCACTGAAAAATGGAGAAAAATGGCTCGCAGTACCCCAAGGTAGGAAATAAATTGCAGACGATAACTAGTGAAGCGAGGCACAAACGGCATAATAAATTGTTCAAGATTTTTGCTCTCATTTCGCGGCGCAAAATCAAACTTTGGAGTGCACAGTTGGCAGGCCATTAAAAGAATTACTTCATGCTCTGAAAACAGAAGGCTTGTGTCAATCCCTATATCTCCACTGCAGAGAGACAAGGCACTGCTCGCGATTTGCTCTGTGTTGTCTGCCATCTGGGCGGGAGCTCCGATGAGCTCAGATCACAGTGAGCCGAGCACAAACACAGTAAGTGACTTGGAAACCGAGCTGAAAGAAACACATCTCTGCTGAACGAGGAGCTAAAGCGAGTGCTAATACACACTGGCGTGGAGTGAATGAATATTAATGCACAAATATTTATGTCTTACAGTTTCTCTCAATACATCAATATTAATGATTAATGATCTGCATTCCACACATTAAATAATTGAGCAAAAATAAATAAGTGATATTTTGCCCAGTCTAATAAATATTCAGTAGATTCGGAGAGTTGTCTGCAGACTATTTTGTGTTGATAATAGCGGTCGCTGGAGCAAAGTACATTCAAAGATTTGTTAGTTGTTTGCTTAATCCAATCAATAATTTATGTGTATGAATATGAGAATTACCACTCCAATCTACCACTGCAGAGACACACACACACACAATGTGTTTTCCTCAACGCACAGCAAATCCTACGCACAATACAAGTATATCATGGTCTGCCTTCATGTTGTTGTGTTTTTGTGTGGCAGGTTCCGTCGTAGCATGTAGGTGAACCAGGCTTCCACTTTCCACTCAGTTTGACATTTGACAAACATGCATCCAGACATTTGGATCGTCTTCTAATAAGATGGAGAGGACATCCGATTAAATGTATTGGTTCATCATTGCGTCAGTCAGAAACAAAGCAAGCCAGGCCTAAAGCTTCTGTTCCGGTCCGATGACAATCACGTTGTAATAAAGACACACTCCGGCTGACATGGCGACGTTTGAAGTGCCTGATGGTTTCCAGCAGAATCATGAAAATAACACAGCTGAAAACTGGCACGTGACATCATCAATAATGTATTCTGCAATCTAAATGAGGGTTAAAGCGACACAAACAGTACCAGTCAAATGTTTGAATACATATGCAAACAGTAGCACATTTTTCTACCACGCAGTGACACTTTTATTTCCTTTTTGGAATCTCAGATATTGGTCACTTTTGTGTCCACATCGGTTTGTTATTGAAAAACAATAAACGGAAATCATATTTTTTGTTAAGTGTTGGTGTATTCACGTGAAATCGACACTTTCCGTGGGAGAAAGTAGGCCGGCTGTTAAAGGTCAATTATGGATTCATGTTACAGTCCCAAGGTCATGCCCCCCCCACCGCGCGCGCACCTCGTGAGTGCTCGTTAGTTACCGTTAGTTAACTTAGTGGTTGCCGAATGGCGGGAGGTGTTCAGAAGGGGACACAACGGACCCGCAGCGCAGTTTGGGTGACGCTCCCTCCCCCACCTCCCCCACCTCCCCCCCGTGCGCATCCCTCTCTCCTCCGGACCGCAGCGCAACCTGCCCGACTTCTCTTTTCTTTTTTTTCTTTTTTTTTTGGTGAAGCAAAATGGCGACAGTGTGAACGAGGGGAAGACGGGCAAACGGCGTGACGGCGCAATGGCAGCCGGGAGGAGGACGCGACTGGCCGTCCTGAGGTGAGTGGCTCGCGGGGACGCGCGGGGAGACGTCGCGTGCGGCGGCCGTCGTGAGTCGGTCACGTGTCCGTGAGAGGGAACAAAAAAAAAAAAAAAACCCGCCGCAGTGAGCGACAGCGGCCGGAAGCTGCTGCAGCCTCAACTTCAGTCGGGCCGCTTTCGCCTCACAGCGTCTCTTCCATACGAAAGGGTGTGTGTGTGTGTGTGTGTGTGTGTGTGTGTGTCCGCTAGCTGGTGTCGCATTGCCTCTCCCAGTAGTCCCCAGCTGTGTGTGTGTGTGTGTTCAGAGTCCAAAGCCAATCCCTGTGTTCTACATAATACACTATATTTACTTTACCACTATTCCTTCGCTTTCATCCAAAGCGACTTACGTTTCATTTTTAACACATGGCTTTTTAACATTTTTGCCCAGGGAGCAATTAGGGGTTAGGTGTCTTGCTCAGGGACACTTCGACATGGGCCATGGGGCAGCCGGGACTCGAACCACCAACCCTGCGGTTCCCAGCTACGAGCCCTGTTATTTCCATCTACTTTGCACTAACAAACCCTGAAATGCAATGTGTCTCCTTCTGGAGATACAGTCCACGCTACGCAGGTCGTTCTGTTTGCTCCTCTTCATGGACTGGAGCGTCGTCCATTATGCAGCGATGGGACTGAGTTAACGAGGGAAGGGTTTTTAACACCGAAGGTTGCAACTGGCGATGCAGTTGCAATACATCTGGCGTGTGCAGATTTATTTTTTTTCCAGTTATTTGGGTCACAATGACTGAATTTGCTGAATCCCCGTTTTGTCCCCCTCAAGCGTAGGTCAGGCGCCAGTGGGAAAACAACGTTCAATACTTATTTTCTCTGTCGTGGCAGTGAACACGACTCAAGGCCCCACCAACAACGGCGCTACCATCACAGCTTGGTAAGAAATTAAAGGCTTTAACCGTAATAAACTGCATCTAGTGGACCAGGTGCTAGCAGAGGTGCGCGTTTCAAAGAGACATATATGTGCTTTGTGACCAAACATCAGCAGACAGGGATCTCTTTCATTTAAAATGGTGATCCATCCGTCTCCGTTTGGTCTACTGTCACCACTCTTTTCATCGTCGTATGGGTAACGTGTGAAAAACAAGGCAGTAACTGATTTTCTGTGACCGTCAATCAAGGTCCATCGATCTTCATTAGCAAGAGAACTGACAGCAGAAATCAGCCGAGTCAAATTCCTTGTATGTCCAACGTATTTTGGGTAATAAATGTTCCTGATTCCTGATGACGAGCCCGGCGGGAAAACAATGGCCGCCACACCGTCGACATCCCGACATAAGCGAGTCCTTGCGCGCCCTGCAGGTGTCTGAGGGAGAGCTTAGGTTTCCACGGGAGGGGGGCCTGTGGCAGCTTAGCGGCCCAGTGTCGGTCGCACTGCATTAGTACACCGCCGAGAGTGAAGGAGTCAACCGCTGGGCTAAATAAATCAGATGGTTGAGGCTGATGTTATCCACAAATTGATTATGTGTCACTTGACGAGGTCAAATATTTTAACCAAGATGCCTGAAGTCCCCAAGTGCTCGGCACAGCAGACGGCTATGGGTTCTCCGCTTACGCAGCTATATAAATGAAGACACCCGGGACTGCTTAAATGGGAGAACACTGGTCGGAATTAGCAACCCGTCGGAGGAGCAGCTGCGGCGATGGGATATTTTAGTAATCAGGTGGGTCCACCAAGAACACCGCGGTCTGCAGAAACACATGGGAAGCGCTGAGGGGGATGGAGGGGTGAGGTCAGCTTCGTAGGATCACACTCGTTAAGTAATCCGCATTAAGTGAACAACGGCCGCGGTTGTTCCTCTCAGCGACGAACGCTTTGAGCAAACACCAGAGCTGCAATCAAAGATATCCATCCTTCTCGTGTGGAATTGTCAGAAAACGGAGAAAACACAATTATTGTCTTGTCTGAATAACAGTCCAGAAGTCTGTTGGCTATCGCCTGAGGCAGCAAATCCACACACACGAGCAGCAAGAACAACTGATTTATCTTTTCCTCATCGGAAACGTTAGTAACTCCAGTGGGCCCAGCACACAGCCTCGGTGTGCAGCGGTGGGGGGGGGCGCGCGGGGGGAACGAGCAGGACAATTGCATGACGGGCGATGAGTGTGTCCTCCCGACACAGCTTCCAAGTGTCGGGTCGAAGGCGGCGGATCTGGGTGTGTTCACACCGGGCTGGTCGCTGCATGAGCCCCCCCCTGAGGTCCTGGCTGAAAGAGCTTCTGATCCTGCATGAAGTCCTGCCCAGGTGGCACCAACTGACGGTTTCTTTTACCTTTGAGAGGTCCAAGCGTTAAACCGAGGCTGCTTCGTAACCGTTTAGTTCCTACGTAAGGTTTCTAACTGACCTGCATGAGTTTTCCTTTTGGTCTCATTTCAACTCCCAACCGTAATATTTTCCTACACTTAACTGGGACTTGTGAATTCACTGCATTAAGCACGCGTGGAAGTCTTTCCGACTACCCTGCGCCTTGGAAAATGAGTGAGAGGGTTTTTGCTGCAGCAGTGGGGTCCGCGTGAGACCCCGAATAATCACTAATTCAATGTATTAATGTCAAAACAAACACAAAGGCTTGAACATCAAGTACTCCCTTCAGTTCGTGTGCCGTGATTCCTCGCGTGGACGTTCTCGGCTTTCCCTTTCGGATCCAAAACAGCGTCCGGGTACCGGAGGACGGATTCCCTGAGGCCGAGTGTGTCACATGTGATCACAAAGTCTTACCGAGACCCGAAACGGGGGAAAGGATGGAAACGAAAGTCTCAGTTGATCTGTGTAGCGAGCACAGAACTTCCCCCCCTCTGTTGCAGGTGTGTTTCCTCGCAGCCACGCGGTGGAGGCGGAGCTTCGCCGTGAACTCGTGAGTACACGCGCGTTCATTTCATCGGCCTCCTGTTCGACACTCTGCACCGTCGCCGGAATCCGCCCCTGCTGAAGCTCGACAAACGCGGGTGGTATTAGCTGAATACCGCCTCTCATTAGAGGCGCCACTGTCAACGCAAGACCAGAATCACAACAAGATGACCCGCTGCGTGGCGACGCGCTCTCACGACTCGTCCGGATCAGCCCGCTGAACTGAAATGACTAGTTAGTATTTGAGCGAGCGTTGATTAGCGCTCAAATGGAAAAAGCGAGACAAACGGGTGTTCCGCCGGCGTTTAATGCTCCGGTTATTAGCATTATCGTCATTATAATCACAATGGCAGAGCGCAAAGCTAAAACGTGGCCCCGCTCTTCAGAGGTGTGATCATTCAGAGGCACAGTTCCACGTCTGCTCGCCAGCTTGACACCTGAAACCGCAGCTCCGATGTGTGAAATGCTCCGAAACCACGTCTGGGTGTGATTACCAGTCGAATTAAATCGGAGACGTCAGTCACATGTGCCCGCGCTTTTCACTCCTTCACTCGTAGGCAGGTTGCTGGGAGTGACAAGCCGGCTGTTGATTAATCTCCAGCGTGAAACGAAATCCCTGACACACAAGTGTTTACGACGCGCCGCCGTCTTTGTTTCAATGTGTTTTTAAAATGCCCAGCGGAGGATTTCGATGGTGAAACGCTGCGACCGCAAACCCAAAGTGGGTTTCAAATATTCCCCCAAGCTCGTTTGATGTGATGCACATCGTTATTTAAATATTTGATTTGGCAAAACTATCTACTAAATGGTTACTGTGTCTTATATCCACGCTGGTGATGACTGTATGTGATGTATGTGTAGAAGCTACTCTCTTGTTGCATGATGTCGGCCTGTTAAATGAGGATCTCTACAAGGGCCCCGATTACACTTTCTCAACAAAAGAAAATGTATCATTTCAGTCACATCAAACAAAAACCAACAGATTCTTTCATTTAAAATGGCATTTTCTGGCCTCTGGTGAAACATAATTAAGTATCTTTGAGTTTAAAGGTCTTTGCAAACGCTGAACTTTTCTCCCTGTTCATTAGAAAGGGTTGTTGTTGTTCACTGCCTACATAAATCTATTCAACCTTTTATATAAAGGTTTGATTCGCTGCTGGTGTGAATAGTTTTGTCTCGTTGTTTATTAGTGACTGTGTGTAGAGGCCTTCAGACTCTCGGTTGAACTAAACATTAATGAATAAACGTCATTGAGGCAACGGACACTCTTACATATTTGAACGATAGACCAATAAACGTTCAATCAAAAATATGAGTCTGATTCTTCAAATGAGAATAACCATTGTAGTGCAGATACTTCTCAGCTTCCCGTATACAATCTCGCTACAAATACGTTCAAAATCACCACACCAAATGCATACAAGTACCACGCAGGCAGTAACGCCGTGTGTGTAAATTAACAAGGCCTCAGAGTACAGATGCATTTGGAATCCCTGCGTTGCATCAGTGAGGACTATCTCAGTGTAACACACTTCGTCCAGAACAACCTGGAGCTAATGGAGTGGTTTTTTCAGGCAGGGTTCCATCAGTCCATTAGTCCGCTAACGGAAGCGAGCGGCAAACTGCACGAGGACGAGCCGGGTGTTTGCGGGTGAGAGGGATTCTACGAGACGTACTTGGGGTAAATTTCCAGGGATCAGGGTTCGTTCTGTGGTTTGTGTCTCTGACTCTCGGCAGCCTGATTATACAAAACCCCCCCGGAGCAGCAGCTCGTGAAGCCGGCGCGTGTCACGACATCCAGAACTGAGATTCCCGCTGTCTTTAGTTGTGACTTTTTACATGTAAACTCTGCGACACTACGCTTTTTTCAAATGATTTCTTCTGACTTCTTCTGAATTTGTTTTTAGGTGATTTCAGCTACCCAGGCGCCGGCCGGGTGAGACCGCTTGGGTCCACCGAGGCCCGAATGAAGCACCAGGGCCGAGAGGGGCCGACGTCCCGGGCGCAGCGGTTATGGAGCGCTTCCTCCACTAAGGGGCAGGATCGGATCACTGATGCACTCGGCCCTCGCTCCAAGGGACGAGGCATCGGAAAGCAGCGCCGGGAAAAGGTGCGCTGTGCAATCTCATTAAAATGAGCTGATAAGGAACAAACACAACGAATAGATTCATATTCAAAACTTTTATTTAGAGGCTTGTCGTCATATTAAAAAGTGCCTGAATAAATAACATGCCGTTCTGACTGAGGAATATACTGACAATAGGATAATAATACAAATGCTGCCACAAAGCAAAATTAACTAAACCAATAATTAAATCCGGATATCCAGGGCCGCATATTTTTCCGAATTCAAGGTATGATCAGAATGCTGAATCTGAATTCATCCCCTCAGAACATCTCCGTCCAAACAGCGTCTATCTCTGAGATTGTGATTAGCGAGCTTCTTTTGTGCATGAGCTGCGAGGCGGCTAACCCTTCCTGTGATGCCCATCCCAGGTTGAGCTCGGCACTTTCCTCATTAATTTCCCACTTATTCTCCGAGTCGGCTGTGATATTCACGCGATCGCAGCAATGCAGGGCACAGGTTAGGCGCGATTATGCTGACGCAGGGCTTTTTACAGCTATGCTCAATGAAATGTGGAGTGCGGGATTAGACGCGTAGGAAGTTATATAGTGATTAACCTTCATTTGAGTCCCCTCGGTGATCTCTCCGGGGCAAATCCTCCCGCCGTCAGGCTCCTTCCTCCGCCTTGATGAGTGACCTTCAAAATATAAAAAAAAAAAAAAGATAGATGGAGGCGTTGCTGCTTCTTTTTTACGCTTATGGAGCATTTGTTTGGCTATTCGGGGCTTTCAAATGCTTCCTTAAACCACACGCACCACTTTGATTCCTTTTAGCCGCCATTCAGAGGCAACTCAAAGTTTCCCACGTGGTTTCTGACCCCTGCAGGCGCCACGTAGCCGTGCGCCCATAAGTTGTCCTGCTCAGTCAGGTGACACGCCATGGTGACTCCAGTACAGTGACGTGCGCTGATGTCAGTAAGAGTTATGGAAGCCAGATTACACGCACGCACACACACACACACACACACACACACACACACACAGTAGTTATTACTTAATGCTTAATAATGGCACACCGGCCAATTATGTCTGCCAGTCAGCGTCGATGAAAACACACACTGCTGAATATGAAGGCAAATGGCTTGTAGTCGCCATTTATTCAACCACACTCATCAAGTCGATATTAAGCCCGAAATAGTTTCTCACTCCTCAATCTGTAGATTATTTGTACATAAAATCGGCCCGCCGCTGTTTCCTCGCGAAGACCTCGATCACAGCGTTGTAAAACCCGTCTCAGATCGGTGATGTCGGCGAACGCCGCTGCCGTCATTTTGACTTTGAATTTCGCGGGGATTAGCCAGCCGCGCAAATGTCCAGTAATATCTCGATTTTAATGTTTGATACGCAACGTAGATGATTACTGGCGTAACCTATTCACGTCCAAAGGCACAGTGGAGTTGTGCTTTTTGTCGTACATGTTGTAGAATACAGTATTCAAAAGTTCTGCAATGAACGGACCTTAAAAGAACCGCTTATTCTACCACTTCTTTTATAATTGATCATGCGTAACGTCATTTGTCATTGTGACGTCTAAACAATTGAAATAACACACATATTGCATATATAACTATAAGAATAAACAGTAAAAATACAAATACAAGTTTATTAAATAAAATGATTTAATGAACATTTCGGTGGAGTTTTGGCAGTGCCTCATCCTATGTTAATTTTACACGAGTTCCGATGGCAGCAGGGGCCGTCTGTTGGTAGCGTTTGTTACTGACTGCTTGCTGCGCTGTATAGATTATAGTATATATACTGTAATGACTGTGGGGATCTGTTCATCAGTGTGAATGCGGTTGATCCGCACAGGGTCAAATGTTTGTTTAAAGACAACAGGAGCAGCGTTCAGGCACTGCGACGAACATCTCCATCTCAGAAAGGCATTTTGTTTATTGACAGAAACAGCAAGGAGACATCTGCCGGTGGGGTAAAGATTGTTTTAACCACTTTCCTCCACAAATCCACTTGTTTCATGAATTATCTAGAAATAGATGTCAGTCATTTCAAACAAGACACAATAAAACGGATATCTGCACCAGGAAACAACATTTTAACAAGCTTCTTTCTGTTTGAAAAAATGTTACCCCCATCTTTCATTTGTTTGAAGAAAATACACATTTTTATTTTCTTTGTTGTTTTTTTTAGGTTTCTGATGTGGTATCAGCCGTTATTGTTAGCAATCTCACCAATAATGGCTAAGACTGCATGCAAATGATGTCTTCATTTCAACAAGCTAAGCGTTTGTGGAAAAAAGAAAGGATTAATGAAAGCTTGAATATCACAGTTGCTAAGCTCCATTTAATCAATTAAATGTATCGGTGCCATCATTTTCTAGTCATTATGCAAAGATATTTAGCACTACCCCGGTTTGATTTCATATTATTTCATGCCACGGCACCCTATTCCCGCTAATCCATTCCCCTCACGCGCGGCACGGTCTGGCGAAGCCGCTCCTGTCCGACGCGGCCATGCGTTTTCCGCGTGTCCGTGCTGCAGGGGCCGGCTTTCTCTCCGCCGCGCCCCTTTTTTCCGAGCGAGGACATTTTTTGAGCCCCTTTGATTCGGCGCGATTTGTTTTGATGTGAGGAGTGAGTGGTTTTTAAAATCTCCTTAACTCCCCGGGCCCGGCCCGGCCTCCCACAGGGCTAATGACCGCAGCCTGGCCCTGCGTTGAATAATACAGACGCTGGCGAGGTGGACGTGGGGAGGAGGGCCGGGGGTTAGACGCGGGCCCTCCTCCTACAGTACACCTCCATTGATAAGATTGCATTAATTGGTATGAATAGAGAGGAGGGTTTTTTTTTCTTTCTTCCTCTCCCTCTCCTTGTATACATTTACCATTATACTCATTAGCTTCCCGTTGCCTCCCAGCGAGCTGCTCCTCCACATCCCCCGGGGTCTCCTGGGAGGCAATTTGCATCTCTCCATGGTGTCCCTCTGGGGTTATTGAGGAAATATTAGCCCCTTTTCTTCTGTAGCCCGACCCCTTTGATTTATTTGGAGCCGGGGCCGATAGAGTGGCACTCACATGTTAATGACTGCCGTTGATACAGGCCCCTGGTGCAAGACGACTCATTGATCTGGGTTGAAAAGGTACAATTGACAAGCAGCGCTGAATAATCGCCTTACATGCGTCCGGGTGTGTGTGTGTGTGTGTGTGTGTGTGCGCAGGCGGACCTTGGGAAATGACAAGGGGAATCGCGTCGCTGACAAGGCCGCTGAGCTCAAGCTGTCCACTTTCCCCCCGATGGAGTAGGACAAATGGGCGCCTCTTTTGTCGTCCTTCCGCATTCCCAATTCGACGTGACTCCCTGGCGGCCGCTGTTTTTCATCTCTCTGACCCCGCGCGTCCGCCTGTTTGAGCCGCTCCGAGCTCCCCTAAACCCAAATCAGAGGCAGCGCGCAACGCGCTTGATCCAGATACTGTTTAGAGTTGTTTGTCCCGGGCTAATAATAGAACCCGAGGTGCCTGCTGAGGACTGACTACGGTTGCCATTAGTGACTGCGAGGCCCGTGCTCGCAGCTCCACCCCTCCCACCTCGCTCGGTTCCTGCTCTCGCATTATGTTTTAAAGAAAGATAATGAGAGGTTTCATCCTAATGCCTGCGATACTTGACATGCCTCCGAATTTTTAAGCTCACTGATGTCTGCTGAGCAATGTGGAGCCCGTCCTCAATTTGGAGAGCAGCTTGACACCGACTGCCTTTCATCTGGATGGTCACATGTCTGCAGCAAAGCGGCAACAACATAGTTTGATATTTATATATATATATCAATGTGTATATATTAATAAACGCATCTCAGTCAGAGAGGGAAGCATCCGCCCAATCCCGGCAACAACTTCTGTCTGTCTTGCGTCGTGTTTGTGAACTTTCGGTTCATTCATTTAATAAAAGTCAACACCTTGACTGGAGCCAAACAAATACCCTGTCCCGGCAGTCGCTGCGTCTTCTCTGCGCACGCTTGAAACAGGTCAGACGTTGTGTGCATAATTTGCGAATTTTGCGTATTATTGCAAAGGGGCGGAGCACGGTGTGTCATCCCAACGAGGCGGCGCTGCGTGCCAAAACGTGGGCAGGTGGGTAGCGGTGGCGGTGGCGTGTTCGGGGTTTGTTTTCCTCTCGGCGATGTGTATCTAAACGGAGCAGATAGGATGTTTATGAGAGCCATCTGCTTCGGATGCCCGCTGCCCTCCTCAACGTGAGAGCAGCCTCATTAAAACGGTCACATGCCTGAGAAATTTCTTCTTCCCCTTTTTTTAATTTTTCTTTTTTTTTAAAAAAAGGAGTAGAGTTTAAAACTAACAAAGCCTTGGGAAATCCCCATCAGACACCCCTCCCTTAATCCATTTAATTTTGAAAGGTATTGTTTAAAGCTTTAAAGTTTATATCGTTTAATCCCCCTCCAACACTACGGGCAGCAAATGAGGCCGCGTCAGCAGCCTGAACAGACATAATCTACTCCACACAACAGAAATCCTCCTTCAAGACAAGGTTGCACGGGGTTTCCTGTGAACTCGCTGTTTGATGTTCCTACCTGCTATTGAACATGACTTCTGTCTTAACCCGACTGTCACTCGCTCCCTGTCCCCTTTTATCACTCCCAATGTTCTCGCTTCACCTTTTTTCATCAGTAAATCTTCAGCCGCCTCTCTCGTTCCCTCCCTTTTTCTTTTCGGAGAGAGGGGGCGAGCGAGAAGTCTATCGTGAGCCGGTTCGGGAGAGATTTTTTCAGTGATACTTGCTGGACGTTGGTTCAAGGTTCACTCTCACCTGTTTAACCCTCGTCCTGTGTGTCCTTTTTATTTTTTTATTTAGTATACCCAACGTCCTTTCACTATAATCTTTGACATTTATTATTTGAAATGATACACATTTGAAAAAATAGTCTTTTTAAAAAAAAATTTTTAGATCAATTTTCTTTGCAAAGCGTTTTATGAAAAGATTGATGCCACTCTCATATGTGTCCGCTAAATATGAAGCTAGATCCTCTAGCTGGTTAGCTTAGCATGAATCTTCTTAGTGAGGAAACCGCTATCCGGCTCTGTCCAAAGGTATGCCGACTGAAACTTGTCATTTACTTTTCCTCTGTAACTCATTGTAGTCTCTCATTCTGCACTTGGGTGGCAAATGCAGGAAGATTTTCTTTCTTCTTATTAAATCTGGGAAGGCATTAATAGCTTGAGGATTCTACTGTAATAGTTCAATGAATATATATACTGTTTAAGTATATAAGACTATTAGACGTGCTTGGTATGTTTTTTTTCTTCTGATGCTGAATTTTTGGTTAATAACGTAGATCAAAATTGTAAGCGAAACTTTCGCCTCAGCTCTTTATTATGAACTTGTGTTCACATTTCCACCAACGGTCTAGTTTTTGAATAGTATCAGTATTTATACTAAAGTAAAGTAATCTGACTGGCTGCTGGATTTTATCGTTATTTCATTTTATCAATCAACTGCGCCTTCTTAAAGTTCCTTTATACCTTTTGTGAATCTTTTCTAAAACAACTTGAATGGACACCCGATATCTTTAAGAATACATTAGTGTTTAATTTTCTTACGATAAAGAACAGTGTTTTCTTTCTAACACCACTTCTGGCACTCACTCGTTTTCCTTTAATGCATAATATGAGTCATATAACACTGTATCTATTTCCACTCAAGCAGTAAATTACATTGTTTAGTTATCAAAGGCTTTGCGTAATTACATTTGTGCAATTCGGGATGACAGGGCTGATAGTGTCTGCACAAGACGCTGGCATACATAATCACAGCCAGAATCCCATTAGGGAGAATGAGCCCATTATTATGGAAATGACCTATGGGTGACAAGAATTCAGTGGGATGAAAGAGAGCGTAATCCAGAGGCAAAGGCAGCGTGTCAAGCTCCTCTCTTTATTTTCTCCTGTGCAAATTTATGAAATTTGGGGTGTTTCTTCTGTTGCTGTGTTGCCGCACGTTGTTGCGTGAGGAAAGCGAGATTTGGCTCGTGGCGTATTTTTGTTAATTTGTCCTTTCTCCTCTGCTGTTTGATACTGCGGGGAAGAGGCTGCGCGGGCGAAGAAAGTAGAACAAGAACTTTGCGTTGTTTTTCTCTTCTTTTTCTTCTCCCGCCGTGGCACCTTCTCTGAGAGAACGCACTCACCTTGGGATTACCGGAATGTCGAGGCGAATCTCCGTCTGTTTGTTTTTGAGCCTCGCTTTGATACCCTCGCGCTTAAGAGGCCGCTTCATAAATTCACATTGTGTCAAATAAATCAATAGATCCCATTAGCCGGGGAAGTAGTGTAGTTCGGTACTTGAGGGACCGCGGCTCCCCTTGTTTAGACATTTCTTCAGCAGCAGGCGATGGCAGAGGGATACGAGGTTGGCTGTTGATCCGTGCAGACAGCTCCAGCGGTTGAAATGGTTTTGGCTGACTGGTCCCAGTTGGTTTTTAGCGCTGTCTCCACTGTGCTGCCAGTCCTCGGTCCAACAAGGAGAAGGAATTTGCTTGGACACTCACGGCCCTTTACGAGCCCACAGTGCCGTACTCGATCCGTGTGTTGTCCCTGTTCTGAGTTTGCCTGTTTCACTGGTTTACGTTAAATAATTGATGAAAAGCCATTCCGCCGTGGTGGAATCTTTTTATTGTTTATGTTGCAGTGGACAGCACGCTTTGTCTTGGGTTTGCAGCTTAATTAGTTTCTTCTTATTGTTAATTGGAGGAAATGTGTTGTGAATGTCCATTGCTATGGATCCCAAGGTGTCCTGGTCTATTGGCTTGTTTTGTTCAACCAACAGTCTAAAACCCCAAAGCTTCCATTTGGAATTGTTGGAAAGGTTTGGCATCTTTCTTATGAAGTAACAAGTAATGATGATAATGTCAATCGAATAATCGGTTAATGCACTATTGTACACGAGTAACTGTGTCCTTCTCTTTTTTTCATCCTTAAAGAACACACAATATATACAGAAGTAATTCTATGTACTCTCAGACTTTCTTTGTATCGAGTCAAGCGTTAAAAGAACCTTGCACCTTCAATCATTGCTGCGTCCATTGGTAAGAGAAAAAGCAATTGCCAATTTTGACCTATTTTCTGTTCCAAGTATTGATCTTCCATTCAATCATTTACATTTTTGGCACAAGTGATCAATTGACATGTACTTTTTATTAAACTGATAGTTTTTCTTTGGTGAATCAGACGTAACCAAAGTCCTACATCAAATTTCTGGGGTTCATTCAAATGAGTAAGGTGGCTCATGGATAAAACTTCTGAAAACGTTTTCTTAATGTCTATTCACAGCACTGAAATTCAAATACTATGTAAAAGAACCTCATACAACCCCACTTCAGAAGACCCAGACCATCCGCACAGCTTCCCCCATAGTCCCGGACTGGTTTTGGGCCTCACTCAGGCCCCTGCGGCTTGTATTAACATGCATGTTATCTTACTACACGGCAGCTACTGTTTTCTTTGTCTTGCTCAGAGGCCACTCGCTCCATGTCAAGTAAAGTCCTTCAATGACGTTGACTGTCTTTTGTTTTTAGAGGGTCATATTGTGCGCGGAAAGATGTTGTTACTTCCTTCAAAGACCAAAAAATGAATTTCTTCCAGGCAAAAGTACAGCATTTTCATGAAATGAGACCGCGCAGAGCAGAGAATGACTGCAGGATGAAAGAGAACAGGGCGTGACGAGCGCCGAGGTTGTGTGCCAGACTCAAAGCCACGCTGATGTGAGTACATGGCACGAGTCCCGGCCCACCAGCTCTCAGAGAGAACGTGTTCAACTGCATCTCTTGAAGTGATTCAGATTTCTTTCTCTGTGATACAAATTGAAGCTTTTATTGTTATCAGCCCGCAGTTTATCAGGTACACCTGCAATGCAATCCAATGCAACGGCCTAATGAATCCGGTCTACATAGAGGCAGAGCTGAGCACATCAATTAGATAACGTGACGTAATAGCCTAATATTGTCCACCTTGGACACATCACTAAGATGGAAGCATTCGTTGCATTGGATCACATTGTACGGATGTACTATATTGAACCAAAGGTTAAGAGCATCTTTAGAAAGGTGATTCTTCAACAGAGAGAAGAAGGTAAAAAGACGTGGCCAAATGCCTCTATTGTCTATTCTGTTGTCTAACATGCACAATGATAATGATGCACCTCCGAAATCTCATTTACAGAAACAGAGAAGATTGAGGCCAACGTCTTTGTGAAAATAGCAAACAGGGTTGGTGAAAGCTCACAGCAGATCGATGGCTGCATACAGCTTAAGCGTATTAGAGCTCATAATCCCTGTAAATATCTCCAGGCAAGGCAAAGTCAGCCTTTTAACATCGACTAAATGAAGCTAGCGGAAGCAAAATGAATTCATAAAGAATTGCATTGGCGGTCGAGCCCCTATTCTTTATATACATACATATATATATTTAGCCTCCAGTTGTGTGAGTCGGCTGCTAATGATGCTTCGCACACATTTTGAACCAAGATATTTTGATGGTTCTGCCTCCCCGCCGTTTGGGGGGGTCACAGCGAAGTTTGCTTTTAAATGGAGAGCGTCTGTTCCCCCTCCGAACCTTTTGACACCACAACAGATGGGGCGAGTATGGAGCTCGGAAGGTTTTACCTCGGAGGTGGTAACAGTGAAGCCACTCATTAACACCGAATTTACCACTTCGTTAGCAACGCAGCTTCCTGTAGAGAGCGACCAGCCCTGGATGTCAAAACCCACTGAGCGCACGCTTTGAACTAAATCAACTCTGGACGGCACGCTTTAATCTGTGCAGTTTGAACATGATAAATCATATTCTGATCATGATCCTATTTAATGACTAACTCCACCAAAATAAACAAGTGTGTGTGTGTGTGTGTGTGTGCCGAAAGTCGTAATGTTTTTCTTTATGCAGGCCCATGTTTGTGTTTTAGACAGATTGTGTGCCTGCCAATTTGTCAGGATTCGAGTAACAACAGTCTCATGCTGGGATCCGCGTTGGCACCATCACAGAGTGATAAGACGCAATATGATCTCATTGGAGGTGTACTTTGTTCCCATGGAAATTGGTCAATCTTAGCAGACGACTGAGAACTTTAGGCGGAGAAGCAGGGCAGGTTGAGTCCCAGGGGTACGCTCACATAATTAAGCATCCTCGCCAGGGTATTCAGGGCTAACAGCAGGGTTTGTTGTGAATAGAGGTGGCGAAAAAGGGTGTTGGGGAAATCATAAAGCGGCGCAGAATAATACAGCTCTGGTTTTATGGAGAAAAATAGGGCTTCTTTTCTTTTAACAGCATCACATTATCAGTGTGGAAAAAAATGAGCTAGACTTTTTGAAACCAGTTGTGCGAGAGTGTTTCATTTTGTAATTTACATAGGCATTACCTCTTTCTGCAAATTGTCTTCGGATGGTTCGACACTGCACCTGAAATAAATATTAGGCTGATAAGCAATGCCGGCTTCACGCGGCCGGCTTGCAAATGAGCGGAAATATGAAGTGCACTTGATGAATTTGTGATATTCTTTCATGTTTTCAGAACGTATCGGCGCTATGTCTGATCTGAGAGGAAACGCACCAGAGGACAAAGACGTGGAGCGGCTGTCTGACAGCCCAGGTCGAACTCAGGAGCCATTACAGAGTCACACATTCTCCCCGAAGAACAATGCTGCCGGTCTGTCCTCGGATGAACACGAAAACCCTTTAAATGGAACCCAGCCGAATCCATTTGTATACAGCGGGGCCCCCGCTGTTCCCCATGCAGGCAATTCATTGCCTTCAGGAGCACTTGTTAATGGACCTGGTTCACACCCCAACTCAGAGGTACACTGTGTCCTGAACAAAGGCACTGTTTTATCCAACAATGTCCTGGATGCCGCGTGGCAAGCGGGGACGGACACGAGCCCCGAGGTGTTACCACCACCTAGTGAGCTTCAATCAGACGCTTGGAAGAACACAGCGGGGCCCGTCTTGAAAACACTGGCCACACAGCCAGGTGTCAACACGCCGCTGTCTCACTCGCCGGAGAATGAGTCCAAACTGGCCCGTCCCGCTCCGTCGGGTGCAGGTGGCGCGGAGCAAATGCGCATTAGCCGACCCTTGACAAAGCAGACCACGAAAACAGGATCTCGCCGGGACGCGGAGCGGTCCGAGAGCTCCTCGGACGACCACGAGGACGCCGAGGCGGTCGGCTGGGATTCAGCGAGCGAGCGCTTCTTGCACAGTGACAGAAGGCTGGAGACCGGAGTGATGCACCGGGGGGACGGGAAGCACAACACGCATGCAAAAAGCATGGCAGCCTCTCTGGAAAAGGTTAACAGCAGCTTAAACCACACACGCAGACGCGCCTGTTTCTGCAGCGATGCTGGAAACGTTGACGTCGCCGACCAAGATGAGGTTGTGGGTGCCCGATCTGATATTAAAGACTCTGCGGTGCCACTCAAGGATCTTTCTAGGAACACCGTGTCAGACTCTCTGCACTGTATTTACAGCACGGCAGCACAGGCGGGCTGTAATGAGCGAAATGACCCTGAAGATGAACACAATTGCACCTCTGAAGAAGACCGTTTGAGGACGGAAAAAGTCCAACGAGATCCGCTTTTCTTTTCATGCACAACATGCAATGTTAATTTCAAGGAGAGGAGACATTTCCATAGACATATGATGTATCATTTAAGCAAGCATAATCAGGTGAACAGTGAGAACGTCTCGCTCCCCTTTATATGCAGCGAGTGTGGGCGTTTGTTCTGCGATAGCAGCTCCCTCATGAGACACATCGTTATTCACCGAGACGGGCTAGAAAAAGTTCGGGGGGGAATCAAAGATCTCAAAAACGCCGAGTTGGAAGACGGGGGCGCCACAGTGCGTTGCCCTCGCTGCACACCTGTGTGTGATTGCCCTAAAATCTCCGTCCAGCACGCCAAAACGCGCGACAATCTCAAGCACTACTACTTCTGCGAGGAGTGTAGCTACATAACGCTGACACAGCAGGCACTCGAAGCACACTTGGACACGCACAGGCTTCGACACAGGGAGATGCCTCCAGCTGACGATGCCGAGGAAGCGGGCCGCGTCCGGTTTTGGCGCGAAGCGCGCTTCTTCGCGGGCAGAGACGACGTAGCGCCGGGAGGACGTTGCGAGCTGGAGCGTCTGCGTTCGCTTGGTAATTGCCTAAAGGGCGCCGACCAGCCTGATCCGAATCTGCATAGGTCGACTTTTGTGGAAAGGCCCCATTTCCCCAAAAGGGGGGACTTTTGCATCGGGACGTCCAACGACACAGCTGTAAATCCTGCTCTGTGTAACGGCGGCGTCGGCTGCGCCGAGAACACGCCACCGCCGCGTGTGTGGAGGGTCGACCGGCATGGAAAATTACTCCTGCAGACCGCAGCAAAATTAGATGCAGCAAAAGATCTCACCTGCATGGAGGAAGACAATGACTGCGAGGCTTTTGGCAGCTCCGAGCGGGTCGGCGAGTTCTTACCATCAAGTCCAAAATTTGTTCAGAAGCTCCGTCAGGGAGGCGAGAACGTCCCGGCAAGCCGGAGCCTGCAAGCGCGAGCAAACCCAACTTCTCTGTCGACGGGAAAAAGGTCAACGCCCCTGAAAAACACTGGCGCCAATGTGAATGGCGGTGACGCCGGGAACGCCGCAGGCCGCTTCTTGGGAAGCGGGAATGCGAGCAACCCGTACGCGCGGAGGTATTTCACAAAGAGGCAAAGGTTTTCAGCCAAAGACCGAAGCCCTCGCGTGCTCAAGGACGAAGAGGACGGAGGTGAAGACTGTAGTGACATAGAGCAGCTCATCATCAAGGAGGAGCACTTGGACACCACAGCGTGTGACGGTTCCCCAGAGTCGCCCCCAACGTCCGCGCGGTACAGCTTTGACGTTTTCGCCTCACCAGCGCCGGAACACAAGCGCTGTCCCTACTGCCCGGCCTCGTTCGAGTCGGGTGTGGGCCTGTCGAATCACGTGCGAGGGCACCTCCACAGGGTCGGCTTAAGCTACGACGCCCGGCACACGGTCTCGCCGGAGCAAGTGGCACTGCGGGACCATCAGCCACGCGTCCGCAGAAGGATCCCCAGTGGCACGAGGAGAATGATGAAAGGTACGGGTCTTGATTTTACGGTGACGCTGTTGTGTGACTCTGGGTTGTGGAAGATGATCTACCCTATCGCTTGTCACGCTTACACACAACTTCAGACTGTACATCATGTACTTGTACATCTGATTGGCGGATGTTAACGTGCTAAAGCGAGCGTGGCAGCCATTCTACCTGCTTGTAAATATGTTTGTGTTGTCATTGGGAGAAACTCACTGTGAAGCTTGATTCTCTGTATCTTTGCCCTTAACGACCCCTTTCAGATCGCCATTTGGTTTTGTTAGTCTAAACATGAAGATGCAAAGCGCTTTAGATGTAGATCTGGGTTAAATGATGCTGTTATTGTAAATGTACTAAAAACAAAGTTCAGAGCATATTCATTGCTTGCAAAGCATAGCAGGGCATTCCGGCAGCTAGCAGCTAACGATGCTGAGAGTGCAAACAAGGACGAAGGGTGCTGACAGAGCTAATGATGTTGGGCGCTACGCTTCTGTGAGGAAGCCATCGGTCGGGCCGCCGATACCAGCTGATAGGTGTGCGTTGCAAAGTGGGGCCGCCAGCTAACCAAACTTACATGTCCCAGATGTTTAAACAAAGCACTAGAAGTTTGGGTTTGAGCACACACAGAGGGCGAGTGACTCCCGGTAACAAGCATTCCAAAACAGTACATCTTGAATGTCGGATTGGTGTTTTTTGTTCTTTCATAACTATGTTTTTAACAAATCTCATCTGAGATTACAGCTGTTAAGCCAGAAACCCAAGGAGAGCACAAATGTCCCCTGTGCAGAGGTTGGTTCGATACGAAGACCGGCCTTACTAACCACGTGAGGGGACACCTGAAGCGAATCGGTACGAGTGTCGCCAGCAACGGCAAGTCCCCGCTGTGCATCCTAAAGGAGCTGCTCCGGGACCAAAAGGAACATCAGAACACCCTCCAGGTCCTCGATAAGAGGAAATCCCCCTCACGCATCAGCAGCGACCGCCTGATCCTGATGCACGTGGCCGTCCCAGTGAAAATCCAGTTGGAGATGAGGAGTCCACGTCCCGTGTCGGACAGCTTCGTGGCCAAACAGGAGGCCTTCTCGGATAGGAGGCTTCAGGTGGCGGCGCAGCGAGGCCCCGAGGCCTCCTCCAGCACTCTAGTTGAACTGCTCAGGGTGAGACAGAGAAGCATGGAGCTGTCGGCGAGAGGAAACCAGGAAGACTTCAAACCCAGGGACCTCTGTGATTTCCCCAAAGGTTACACGGAGGCACCAAACTGGGCTCATGGTATGCAGTCTCATTAGAACGGTTTCATAAACATGTGGTTTCAGCATCACAAGTCTCTGCAGGTAGAACGAGAAGGCGCAGTAGCAGATGGACGGGCATTTATGTAAAGTGTAGTGCATTTGTAGATCTACGGAAAGATACATTTCAATACCTCACCCTTTGGCTGGAAAGCAATGGCTACTCAATAGCTCGTCCATGTGTTATTCCTCCACAGATTAAGCACATTTAGCTCTGTTCTCTAACAGGGAAGTTCACTACACATTAACATTCAGTCCATCAATATTTTATGAAAATGTTTCCGGTGTCTCTTCTCAGATAGCTGTATGCTGCAGATGGATGCCAGTTTTTAAACAATGGTCTTTTGATTTTTTTTTATGGGAGGAAACAACAAACAAATACAGTAGATTGAATGTCGCCAAAGTGCTTTTGAAGTTCCTATTAAAAAATCATGAGATCCTATTGATGTTGAGTTGGAAGCTAGTCATCCGTGTTCCCACAATTTTGTTTAATGTCTGTCCAAATCAAACTTTCAGTGGCGGCACGGAGAAAGATTTAAACATCACATTGCTCTTTATAATGTTCTGGATATCTTTCTTTGTCCGTCCGGCCCTGAAAACTTTAGAGCACGCTTCGTAGTACGCCGTCAGGGCTGTGAGGAAAATACTTTTTCATCACCGTCATTAACATTTATCACTTGCAAATGAAATGGAAATATAAAACAGATTTATTTCAATCAATATTTATAGATGTTTTTGGGAAATAATCACAAAATACATTTTTATTCTGAGAGATCTTTTGGGATTCCTACTTAGCAACTATTGCGGTTAGCAGGCGATGGGGCGCAGCTTCGCCAGTTTTCTGTCAGAAGACTAACACGTCTGTGATATGCCGGAGTAGTTTATGAATCCTCTGTGACTCCGGTGTATGTGAAAACAGCCCCCCCCCCCCCCCCAAAGACACGCGATTGTGTTAAACTTCACTATGTAACACTTTTCAGACAGGAGAGTGCAAATCAGATGCTTAGAATGAAAACAGGTGGAGCAGCACACTGGGAGTAACAGTTTTGCTTGATAATAAAATTACCGCGTGAATTTGCACACCACCCCGCAATGCTTTATTCCTTCAATAATACAGTGTCACAACTACTGATGATCTCTAGACCTCTATTGGAGATATTATGTATCAGGTAGACTGTATTAAAAAAATATACTCACCCGATTGAAACCTAAACACTTTGATCCACTTGTTCTAGTTGAGATTCATTTTTTATTTTTTATTCAACGTTCTAACCTTTCAGGGGCGTGTGATTCCAGTAAGATTTGTATTGAGTGTAACGGCGCCGTCCCCGGGCTTCCGGCTCATCTTCAGGCCTACGCACACAGGAAGAGGACGGCCGCATTTCAAGGACACGGTACGTCGATGGCGATGAGCGTGCAGCAGAATGTCAGCGTGCTGTTTGATTGAGGAGATTTTGTGGACATTAGATGGAATAGTGAACATCAACAATGGGAATATTTATTCATGCCTCTTCTCAGTAATTACTTGATGCATTCCCTCAGATGAAGTATAGCGTTTTGTCTTTTTAGGCTGCGATTACCAGCCGAAGAAGCCGAGGCCTGGGCCAAAGAAAGACGTGCCACCCTCCCTGAGTGCTGAGGATTACACCTTCACCTGCAGGTACAAACAAGCAAAGGAAACCTATGCAAGCGAGAGTTCTCTCTACCCAGTTACGTGTCTCGTGTGTAGGCCCCAAATAAAATAGATGAGGAGATGTAGCAGCACAGCAGCGTAAACACTGACCAGCCACTTCTTCTCTGGGACCACACAGAACCTTCACAGTAGCTCCAAGCACTCGCTCCCTAAAAGAAAACCACGTTTCCATTGGCAGAACTGGTGAAATGTGGATGGGATCAGGCGGCACCTCCGGTTCTGAGAAAACGACCACACTTGATTTAGTGAACCTGGTGAACAGGAGTTTATGGTCTCAATTTCCACTTTCAAGACTAAATGATGCTCCCATTTAGCGTTAAATAGGCACGAATGCTTAAGGGCGGGTCTACATTGTGATTAACAGGTTGTCACTGCAGTATACAGCATCTACACGTCAATACTGCACATTCCCAATATGGTCACTGTACTTTACTGGGTGCAAAAAAACAAGGCAGAAGTGGAGACTGGGAAGTCCAGCGTTTAGAGGTTTAGGCCAACATACTTTGGGTCCGTATACAGAGGTGAACAATCAATTAATTGGCCCACTTAAAAGCTTGAAAGAGCCTTTTGGGAGAAGTGTTGGTTTCCACTTCAAGTTGAGGGTGTTTTGACACCATTTTTTCCTTCCTTCCTTCCTTCAAATACCTAAAGTTATATATCGACCCACACCGAGGACCGATCTGATGTCCGTGTGTGTGGGAAATACACAAATTCCACCAATCATAATTCCTTCTCAACAAACTATTTCATATGGGTCCTTCAAACGTCAAAGCTTTCTCACCAAAAACTTCAACTACCACATCATGATAAGTTGACAATACACCTTTGCGAGATTGAAGACTAACACCTTAAACGCATCATGAACTCTTAAGCCCCCGGCGTATGGAACATGTAACTGGATGCAGGAGAAATCGTAATGCAACCAATGCAATAAAAAACAATCTAACATTCCCCGCTGAAGAAGACTGTTGTGCGTCGGCTGTAGAAACAGTAACTGGCTCCTCCTCCCTGTCTGCAGATTCTGCGACCTCGTCTTCCACGGTCCCCTGTCTGTCCAGGGGGACTGGATCAAGCACCTGCAGAGGCACCTTCTGCACACCGGCGTGCCGCACTCAGGGACCGGGATGGTTGAAGTTCTGGGTCTTGGTCGTGATATGCACATGAGTATCTGCCGTGAGCGCGCAGATCTCGACTAGAGTTTTACCCCTCGAGGACCTCCAGCGGCCTGAATTTGCACTTTGTTTTGGACTAGTCCTGCAACTGTTTTTAGGAATACATAAGACTGAATCCAGACAATGTAATAATAGTAGTATATTGATAATATGATATATGAACTATTAGCCAATCGTTTGTGTTGGATATCTAATACTCTGCTTTGCTTTATAAATTTAGCTAATCCAACTTTTGGGCTTAATCTTCTTGACTGGTTTGCAGAAGCTGGTCTGGCAGTGCAGAACTGCCATTGTTGTAAAAACATCTGTCGTGATAAAGAAAAGTGCCTCTTTAAAAAGCATGTTCAAATGACAAAACATTCAAATATCTCAATTTCGTGTAACTTTTTAATGTCATAAGCAGAACATTTCTCATTATAAAAAGAAACATTTCTCAATAGCTTACTCTCTTTTCATGAGAACCTATTTTTTTGTCACAACAACAAAAGCTAAAAGGAGCATGCATATATTGGCAAAACACACGAGCATTTCAATTGAGTTCACGCCTCGCTTTCTTCTGGAGACGACATCAAATCAAACGGCGCTCGCTCCCGTCGCCGAGCGGTGTACACGGGGCTGTCGTTAGCTGCCGGATGCTTTGTGGGATTTCACCTCCCTGCGCCTGCATCAGAGCGAGCATCTCTCTTAATCAAAGCGACATTCATTATGTTGGGACAGCTTGTTCTGTCACTGTTCTCCTGCTTAACCTTCACCCATCAGCGCAGCTTCTGAAATCCGGCTCTCATTACAGCCGCGATAGCAACGTCTTTTTATAATGAGGAATACTCTCTGGTTATAACCAACAAGCGCTGCCGGTTATAACAACGGCGTGTGTTGTTGGGATTACTCTGTACATGTGAAAGCTTCGTTCGTGGTTGGGTTGATTCTTATTTTGTTTTTGTATCAATGGAAGAGTTCTTTTTAAAACAGAGCTACGCTTTGTCTTTCTATGTGTTTATCTTCCCAATTCTGATCGCAACATTTTTCAAGTTCAGTTTCAAGTTCAGAATAAGAAAGTAAACATTAATATATACTATAGCAACAATATGAATGTATATGTTTTATTCAGTAATGCAATATAATGTTAGAATGAAGGATTTAAGTAAATCAATAGAAATAATCAATATTAATAATAATATATATATAATATTCAACTTTTTAAAAAATGTGTAGACGTGTAGAGCGCCCTTATGCAGAATTAAGCATTTCTATAAACTATTTCTATTACTTCCTTACTCAGGCTTGAAAGTTTTTAGACTTGCTCAGATTCTCACTTTGTAGATGTTTGTATAAAAAATCTGTGACATTGAACTTGCATGATTTTAAAGTGTCACTAGATTAAAACAACAAACATAAATGATTCTTAAATCAGCCGCATTTATTAGTGATGCCCCGCTGAGTCCAACATGTAATGTAGGTACGGGAGACATTGACCGTGTATAGAGAGGAGGTCCAGAACCGACCCGAGGGCGGCGGCGCACTCGTCAGGGGTCCACTGAGACGTTGGTGGAGCCGACCAAAGGTTTGGCTCCAGTGAGCAGCCTGGCTGCGATTTGGAAACCAAAAAGCTCAATTTGCAACAGAGCAGTGAGCCAAACGTCGTTGGCCAGCCGAGGTCGGGGTGAACAAGAATGCCGGTGAATTCATAGTTGAAGGTTGGCTGCGCTGAGTTTCTGATTGATAGATTTTCATTCATTAGGTTTCTGTTTTGGAAACTCGATATGGAGAGCCGACCAGACGCGTCTGAAGGAAAAGGACGCTCTCCCTCTGCACGAGCTCTGTTTTTCTGTTTAATTCCGATAAATCTGTATGAGAATAAGAAGTCATTAGTTCATGTCAATAAATGATCATAATGCTTCCTTCAGTCACTCTTGGCTGTGATCGGTGCTGACTGAGTTTACATGAGCACAGGAAGGGATGCATTCACTCATTTGTAACAGAAAACACTCATTTCCGCTCATCTGTAGCGCGTAGTTGATCTTGATATTTTGGTGAGTTTTGGAGAGCCGTAGAGATGTCTTACTTCTCACGACATGAGGACAAGATGCCAGTCTGCTTTCAGGTTCTTAAAGTGCCACAAAAACAAATACATTAAAAAAACTCCACAACTCTTTTTCAGAAGCTATGACGCCGTTGCTACCGATGGTCCGAGTCCGAGTGCTTGTCGTGAGCAATTTCATGTTGGAACTCTTTTTTTCAACCGTATATGAAACTGCGCATGCAGATATCATTGAGTCCTGGAAGACTGAAGAGAAGGCAGGCATCTGTACCGCTGTGGCCACATTTAGCCAACTCACAGCAAAACAATGTAGGCTGATACATATCCATTCGGGGAAATTTGTGTTTGGGATTTTGGTGTCAACTGTCCCATTTCAAGGAATCTTTAATCATCGCCATCATGAAGAAAAGATAAAGATAATACTGGCGGCACTTGTTACTACGGCATCGGATGAAAACTGTGTCATTTTAAGAGAAAGTTCTGACCCTGATTGACGGTCCGCTGCCCCTCTGCCATACGCTCTGCACAAGAAGTGGACGTAGTAAACGTGAAGTCGCCCATTGGATTGTGGACTGCCGTTACGAGGCCTCCAGTTTGCAGATTCTTGTCGTTGCCATCTTGACTTTTTAACCGCTGAACGGAAGCCACCACACTTGAAACGCAGAGGAGCGGCTCTAGTAGCCAAAGTCCACCTTAAACAGGATTCACTAAATGAACGCCAGGAAGACTTGGAACTACCGACTGAGATCATAAGGTCTCGTGCAAATTGTTTACTGAAGTAATACATCAAGTGAGAAGCAGAGTCCTCTAACTTCCATTTAATGGGACCTTCCTAACCCAACTAGAGGAGTTGCCCCCTTCTGGCCAGAAGACGCTTTCACATCAGCTTCTCTCGATCTCCCCGCCTGCCCTCAAACACACGGCCCCATTTAATTTGTTGCAGTTATTTGGCCAAACTCGCAGATTCCAGTGTGATGTTGCACCATTATTCCCAACAGGAAGGTATTTTAAGGCTGTGTGCGGTTTTAAACTCCAGTTTTTAGCGTTCCAGGCTCAGTATTTGATGTATCCGCCGCTTGATAGCCACTCCTGGGTTTTCTACTTACCAGTGGCAAAGGGGGCTAACCCCGCAGTTTATCTTGGGCAGTATTTAAAGCAGCGATCAAAGCTGTACAAACCAATTGTCATCACACGTCTCCGGAGGGAATTTTGAAGTACATTAATGCTCCTTCTTTGGGAAATAATTGTGCCACTCTGTGACTTCATTAGGTCTCCTGGCTGTTTCAAAAGATGTTCTCTCTGGAGGTGGAAAGCCACATCGCTGGCAGACAGCATCCCAAGGGGCCAAAAACAAAAAGAAAAAGGAGGGAGATTTTAATGAGATTGAGTTAGCCATGACCAGAATTGGGCTTTTCATTATTCCAGAGGCTGAAGAGGGAGAGGGACAAGGCTGACATAAAGAAATGTGTTGTTGCAGGACCCACACTCGCCATCTGCCACAGGGGTCCAATGGTAGGCAGCCAATGCATGCTTATCATCGCCATGGGTATCAAAGGGGCCTTCTCTCTGGAGAATGCTCCATTAAAACTGCAAATCTAACCCCTGCATGCACGACTCAGGCAACCTGCAACACTTTTGATTCATAGCATTCAAATGGGGGACGATGGAAAACTTTGGATAGCTTGTTTGTTTCGTTTTTTTATCGGTCAATGAAATGTGATTTAGATGATACGTTTATAAATGATGCCACGAGTTAAAACTATGTCTGCAGTTTTTGTCAGTGTTTATGTCTTTCCCCCCGTTCAGCATGCACGTGGCGGCAGCGGTTTCTAGAACAGGACCATTGATCACGACATGTCCTCCTGCCAGTTGTCGAGCAGTGCCACGGGACCTGTGTGAGAAAGGAAGAAACAAAAAAAAAAAATACCAGGAAAAAAAAATAAAAAAAATCAATAAGTTTCCATTATCCGGTCGGCCAGTGTCACTGGCCCGTCAATGATCCCGTTACAGCGGCGGTACAAGGGGTGACACGGGCCCGCGCTCGATCGCTGCTGACAAGAGGGAAACATGCTGACAGGCACCGGGAACAAGTTGGAACACAGATTTGCACTTCAAGCAGCCGTCCGAGGAGGCGCACAGTGCAAGGCCACCGCGCGGCAAGGGGGTCGAGCTCAGCTGGGGCGGCGTGGGGGGGGTTGAGAGGGTGTGTGTGTGTGGAGAGGTTGAAGGGGGAGGAAGAGGGAGAAAGGGGGGCGGGGGGGGAGGCTCCTTCCACTGTCTGACTGTCTAGCTCTCTGCCACAAACGCTTTTATCCTCCTATAAATTATTCACCTCTGGATACACCAAAGGAAAAACTCTGCTGCACTGATTGTGGCTGAGGGGAAATTCATATGTGAGAAACCTGAGGCCGGTCTGCTCGGGCCACTCCTGCAACAACAACAACAACAACAACAACAACAACAACAACATCACCTTGCAGCGTGCCGCATGTCAAGCACCTGCTTTGCATTGTGCGGTACGCGCGAAAGTCCGTGACGTCATCTTTTGCAAAAAATAATATTATTTCCGGAGGGGAAATGTTGCATCATATCCCAATTGCATGGCAACGTTTGACTTTTGTAGTTTAAAAAAATATATATATATACGTGCAGCCATTATGTGCCTCACGAGAAGAACACGAGGGTGCGTCAGTCGGTCCAGATGGGCGGTCAAAACATTAAGGAAGACATCAACTGTCTCTCAAAAGAACACGAATCGATATATTTTGACAAGGATCAAATGTGCTTTAGATGAACCCTTTTGGCCCTCCCCCCCCATCACGTCCAACCTCTTTACTTTTGTTTGTGGGTGATCAGATGACTCCTTATTGTCGAGATCGCATAACAGGGCTCAGCCTATAATTATCATAACAGATGTACGTCAAAACGGCTTTCATTCAAGCCCTTTATTGTCTGGATTCACAGGCCTTGGGACATTGTGTGACCTCGCTCTGCCTGCCTGTTAATATACAGTTCTTTTTCCCTTTTTTTTTTTCCAATTACACATACATATGTGTACATTCTCCCCTCTTTGTGCGGTGCACATCAGTCCATAATGACTGGGGAATTCAGGTTAATATGTTGACAAGCTTTAACAACAGCGGGTCATGTTGCACAACACGCATGGCTGGCTCCGTTCACTCGGGCAGCTGACAGGTCCTAATCACGCGCTGCCCCGAAGGCACCGGGGGCAAAGAGGGGTTTTAATCACTGCTTTACAGGCCGGCGAGAGGCTTCAAATAGAGACGTAATTAAAGTCAAAGTCCTAATAATTGTTTCAGCTAATTGGGCAGACAAGTGCGTCATGGCTGTGGTTACGTTATATTGCTGTAATAAGCTGAGGTGAAGGATTGCTATTTGTTTCTTCTAAAAATGATATGACACTGGGTGCATGGAAATGAAGTAATACAATAATAATAATAATAAAAGATCAGTGTTATTCCTAGCCTGACGACACAGCCGACGGGCTGCATTCATGTCATTATTTCATGCCAAAAATTCACCCAAAACCTTTTCACGATTCAAATAATCCCCATATTAATTCAGCCGAGGCTGAGCATCATCACCGTCAGTGTCAATGTGTCATTTACACTAAGGGGGGGGATTAATAATGCAGCCAACAATATGCCTCGGCCTCGACGTGCTCGGTGGCGACGCCGCACCTTTCGGCGCCATCATTATTATTTGCTATTAATTACTCGCCAGGCGGATGCCGGCGGACAGGGAGCCGCGGTAGGTGTGACGCGGGAGCTGGTCAGAGAGCAGCTGCCCTCCATCCCGCCGGGCTCAGCCTGACCTCCTTTTGCTTTTTTTTTTTACATCACTAAACTGGAGGCTTGACAAGCCGCGTACGAGCGAGGGGGCTTTTTGATCTGGATGAGGGGAGAAATGTAGAATATGAGCCAGAAATGACGAGTCGGGCACGATTTCCGCTATACGAGTAAATTGACGAGAAAAAAAAAAGAAATCATCTTAACGTGTCTGTTTTGGGGCCAACGTGTCCGTAGTCATCCATCACCGGGATGCTTTTAAAGGGACTCCCATCCACGTTGTTCCAGTCACATTCTGTCCACTTTTGTACCGATTCCTGTTTCACACTGCAACAACAACCGCAACAACAACACGCGCAACAAACGTCACGTGCTGCAAATCCCACGATCGTTCACACAAAAAGTGAATGTTTATGGTTGTGATTGCATCTGGTGATCACTTAGAGGGGCGTGAAACGGCTCGGTGGGATTTAAAGTGTTTACTAACCGCTGGGGCCCGTGAGCTGCATGCGTGCTGATGCCACGGTGCGGTTCCCCCCCGCTTCGGACGCCAGGGGGCGCTGCTCGTTTCGTTCTGAGAGCCAAAGGAAGGGCGAGACACAAAGTGGTTACATTGGCATCCGAGGCAAACAATAATGACGGGAGACATGAAAGACGGAAGAAAAGAGGATGGTTATGCCCACAAAATAAAAGTCAAAAATCAGGGGCAACATTTAATTTAATTTTAATTTAATCTGTTCATTTTCTTCCCTCATTCTTATGCTCTGAGCATGTTTTTGTGATTTTTAACAAATATTCCTAGAACTCTCTCTCTCTAACCCGCACGCTGCATCCCTCTGCAGATCGAAGGACGGCGGGTATCGCGCACTGATACACGAATCTGGTTCCAGCGCTCCTTTAAGGCCCTTCCGTTTTAATATTTACAGGTGATTCCTCTCCTTTGACTGAAAAGCGTTCATCCCGCCCTGCTTTCAGGACGCGGCAGCCTGCAGGAGCTGCACAGATTGTCTCAACATCACATCCGTAATCAAACAAATCACATAGAGAGAGAAAAGTCTGCGCCTTTCGTTGTATTTTAGGGAGAAATGTAATTACAACCGCGGGTGTAGGTATTGGGAAAGAAATAGCAGGCGACAAACGAATATACAGAGCAAATGACAAAACGTGAGGGGGAATAACTGACAGATGAAAAGACGGAAGGATGTGCAGCTAACAGGCAAAACGCGCCGGTACAAAGACGAGCGCACCTTTTGAGAGCAGGAGTTTGTTTTATTGCACATCTCCCGGGTTGCATCTTCCTGTCGATTTGCAGGAAGAAAAAAAAGTAGGGGGGGCAAGTGAACATGCCCTGTTTAAGAAACAAACATGCAGATTAGATGGGATTCTGACAACACACAGCTCCAGACGTCACGTCCCACAGCTCACATCTCAACAATAAGGGGAAGAAGGAGCCGACCGACTCAGTGCGGTAGACACCGCTTACCGTCATTCTGCAAAATAAATAAATAAAAGTAAATGTAAATAATGAGGTGGCATGTGGAAATAAATAGTAGAAGTTAAGGCAAACTGGTATCAACTCCGGTCCGCTTAAGGCCCAATGGGGGGACACGACGCATCTAACGTTTTAAGGGCATAGACACGACTATATAAAACAATAAAATAGATAGTGTGATAAACATTGACGGATCTGGTACACGGGTATTATTATTATCTAAAATTAAACGCCCCAAAAGTCTGCCTTCATATAGAGATACGCACAGTGGATTTGGGCGTAGCAGCAGGAAACAAGGCGTTTACTTCAAGTGCAGAGTGTTGTCACCTGTTCTGCGGCAACAGCAGAACACACGACCTCCACCCACTCAGTCACCTTCCACGATGCTCCACTGTGGACTGTGAGCCGCGACACGCGGGCCTGTGCAGCCGCCGCACGCATACTTACACACACACACACACACACACACACACACACACACACACACACACACACACACACACACACACGGAAGCCCGCTTGCGGATGTGATATATAATTTAAACATGGAAGAATGACAAGTCAGCGTTGGTCTAAATACAAAACGCAATGTCATTTATAGCGTGGGTTATGTGGGTTAAATCCTCCTAATGGTTGATTTACAAATGTTAGAAATGAAAAATAAAAAAAACGGTATAAGGTAAATCATCTATATTTATTTTCCGTCATTTTATTTAATTATATGTGTAAATATATATACATATATATATGAATAGAAAATATATATAAAAGAAAATTAGTTTACGGACTTACTGACGTTTAAAAAAAATAGAAATAAAAAACCTTGTTTTGCCATGACCATCGCCAACATCCCGGAAACACACGTTGTAAGAGTTCCGGCAGTCACACAAACCGAGAAGTCGTAAAATACAAGTTTAAACCTTAAGCCCGTGGCAGGCGCCGTGTTGATTGACTCAAACTACCGCGCGCACATCGCCCCGGTTTGAAAAGCAGGTGGCGGGAGTTGTGAGAAGCTGCTAATTGAGAGGCAGCGCGGCCGCCATGTTTTGCCGGATTTACTCACGTGGACGCTGACGGGAGCAGCGGATTAACAGAAGGTAATGCAGCATCACAGCCTTCTGCGTCAACACGGTGGCGTGGAGCATCTGCTGAAAGGGGGGTGCTCAAGTTCAAACTCATGTTCTTGCGTGTGCAATATGTGCGTTTTTGTGTGTGACATCTGGTTTGAGACGTTCCAACATGCGACTTAAACAAGTGTTATGTGGAAACTTGTAGCCTCCAGTGCACATCCATTTTATAATTGAAATATATGTTAGTTTGTGGATTGTTGGCAAGGTATAAGGTTTGATGTTTATTATTTTTTTATTGCTAACTAATTAATGGAAGATCTGAGCGATTAAGTGATCGTTAGCACCACTGCCCTAGTCTGAGAATCAGCTATTACACATTACAGAATAACAAGCACATCACAAGAACGTGAGCTTTCTCTCCATCCAGATTTTGTTTCCAGTCATCAACTAATGAAGCTTCATCGGACCGGTGTCCAGTAATCTTTGCACTGCGTTTTAAATCTTGCTAATTTGTGTTTTTTTGTGCCCAATGTGGCCCCGTGTGAGCTGTAACAGCAGCGTCCCGCACAGGCCTGAGCGCTCATGGGGCCCTGCATCAAACCTCCCCCGGCAGCCTCATTATTCTATTCTCCTCCACTATCCAAGGTTGATCTAATCGCCAGATCAACAAGCGGGATGTGTGAGAGAACAAATAATGGAGACAAAATGAACAAATGATTAGTATGCTGTGAAAAGTACAATACGTTTCTTATTTAGCATTTAGATAACTATCCATCCTGAGGAGCAAGCTTCAAAGTTGAACTCAGTTTAGGCGAGGGGGATTAATTCTCTCTGCCGCATGCTTCATTGAATCTCTCATTACCAAACTTTGTCTGTATTGATGTTAGATTTGATTGAAGATTAGAGCATTTAGCGAATCTTGCTTTTCCGCGTGTATCGGGCTTTTCCGAGCGCGGCACACCGCTCGCTGGTCAATACCCTCACTTTTATCCAGCGTCTGCTTCATTTAAACTTAATCAACTCCGTCAATGAACTGGAACAGCGAAACGTCCCCTGGAACAATAGCTTTTGTTGGATAATGCTTTGGTCGTATTCCCCAACCGGGCGGCGATAAACCCGAAATTACACTATGATGAACTATTTCAATCAATATGATAATGGAAATTGGCTTTGGTGACTCTTTGCAGGGCTTAAGGAGGCAGGCTAAAGCCTATGTGACATTAATACATCTCCATGCTCTCTCCCTGCTGTTGCCTCCCCCCTACCTCACTTTATTGTCCCATCTTTTCAGTGACATTGACTGCACCATATTGCAAAGCGCCTGCTAGTTTAATGATCTATCTGCACGGGGGAATGCTTGCGTGGAAATGGATGCACAAGTCGACGGTGCCACGCATTGTTTTGCAACTAAATTATGGGCCTTGTACTTTGTTTCCTGGAGTGGCTCAGCGGGGTGTGGATCCATCATCGATGGCACCGCCGTAAAGCAACCACAACGCCACTTCTCGCTGCTCATTTGGACATTTTGTCCTTGTGTGGGATCCACTGCCTGTTATAGTCTACGGTTCATCATATTTATACTGCCACCAAAAGAGCAATTTCACAAGCCGCGGCAGGGAAAAACGCGCGCTCCCCATCTGTTGCATAATAATAAATATGCCACCTTGTGGGACAATCCGGGAGTGATCATGATGATCGACGGCCAAGTGATGCGACTTACCATAAACCTGTTTATTTGAAAAGTTTCCCCATAGCCAATAATTGTCAAATTTATTTCAGCATCTATTACCATTTTCTGAGGTGATTTATAAAAGCAGCGGCGTTGTTTTTTTCCCTCCACGCCTTTTCTCAAGACATTTCATTATCCTTTCAGAGAGCGCCCTGGCCACACGGAGACGGATGCCGTTGTGCGTTGTTTTCACGCAGAACTGAACAGTTATCGCCGGAGCTGAAAGTCCCAGCTGTCCTTTGGTGGGGAGTCGCTGATCCGCTCGATCTCGTACGAGTGTCAGGCGGCGATGGAGCTGCGGTCATGTTTTTACAATCGAGTCGAAGTTGCATTTAAGCCAGCGCCGTTAAAGTGGTGGAATATCCACGCACGCCGGTTGGTGAATGCGTCACATGTTCGGCACATTTGTATTTCTCGCACACTGACCACCAGGGCCTCCTTGAATACCTGAACTGAGAGAGGCCTTGGGCATGTCAGTGCCAGGTTCCCTTATAAAATTTGTAACAGGAGGAGTGTTTTGAAATACAAGAGTATACAGAATACAAACTCACCGAATGGTATGAAATCATTTTTTTAAGCAAGAAATAAAACACATGATTTATTCTGACAGTGAAAGCCGCTCTGACAAAGTCTATTAAAGTCAATAAAGGAGGGCCAGTCGATTTTCTACAACATGATCTTACAAAAATATTTTAAATACTCAAGATCCTCTTAACAGCACAAGGATGGTTCGTAACAAAGATGATACATTACATGCAGTTTTAGGTGGTTTGCATTCCGCTTTAGACTGACGTCGCTAACATGCGTCTCCCGCTGCATCAGAACTACGTAGTCTACGTAGTCTTTCCTTGACCCCATGACGTTTTCCACAGAGGTCAAGGAATTGACCATTTGAATCCGGCCCAGCCAACGTTCGTTGCCACACCTTGGTGAAAGGCCCAAACTAAGATACCTTTCGCTCTGGGTTGATGGCCTTAAAAATGCAATGTATTTGGAAGATATTTGTGAAAAATGGGTCTAATATTTACTTTTACTTTTAGGCAAAAGAATCCTTGGTGATCTCCTAAAGTCTGCTGGAGGAGCGAGGCCAGTGGTGACCCATCTGGTTGAACCAAAAAAAGATCCAGGCAATGAAACCACTTTTAACATTATTAAACCACCACGACAAACGATCTCTATCATTTCGCCTCGCCACCACGTAATGCGTTGTTTCATCTATAGAGAGAGACCAGCCTGATCCACTGGTAATGTAGACATAATATATAAAGAGTACACTAATGCAAGTCTTTGTCCATTTGCAACAAAACGCGCATAGTGTAGATTCTCCTTTTAGTATCCACAGTCTAATGAGTTGGTTTTCGGGTGGAGGACGGCCCTTGACAGTGAAGGATACTCCCTGCCTGTCTCTAACCTCTCGCCTCCCGCGGCAGCCCGTGTCAATTAGCCCGTCCTGCCTCTTCCCCCGGCTGCAGCCGCTTCCATGTCACAGTAATCCAGCTAACATGAAACGGCAGATGTGTCGTTTGACACTTTTGAATATGTTGTTTGCCTTTGTTTCCATGTTTTACTCCCAGTGCTGGAAATGATTTGAGAGGACAGACATGCACAACAGATACAGCACCTTGAACATCAAAGGACTCGCGCTGCAGTATTAGAAAGGGCGTGTGTGTGTGTGTGTGTGTGTATCTGCTGTAACACAGGCGCACACATAGCTGCCATCCGAAAGCATCCGAGACAGCCCAGAATACAAGAATTTACAGGCCTTTTTCCTCCTGCTTTGTCTGTCTTCTTTCCCATTCTCTTAGGTGAACGGGGCCTGAGCGATGGAGCCAGAACCTTTCATCTCGCCCAGTGAGTGTAAATAGCTGTCATGTTTGATTGACGGTCTGACGTGCACATGTGTGATGCCCTGGAAGAGGGGAAGACGCTCCGCGAGAACACGGTACACGATTGGCTGCCCTGTCCTCCAACCAAAGATGTGATGGATGAGTAATTACACACAAAAAAACAACCGCATTTCCTCACATGAGATTTCTCAGGGTTTATGCAGAGACATTGGCATAAATCCCATAAAGGCTTACAAATGCATCCAGGTTATTGACCCTACGTATAATCATGCTAATATAGTATATATGTTTGCAGACTTTTGATGATGTTTAAGTGCATATAACAAACCTTTTTCACTTTGGCTCAGTTGAGGTTTACATATCATTACTATTAATCAAATAAACCAAGCATGGTTACATTATAAGATCATGTTTTGTTACATTCAAGCTCAAAGTGATTCTGTGAAATCTATTGCCCCTTCCACAAAGCAAAAGGGCACAACCAAATGGCAAACTGCGCGCCACATAGAGGCCTGTAAACGTGTCCTGGATCAGTGGAGTTATTGACCAGTGGCGGATCACAGGCGCCATTCAGCTGAGTTATTGTGAAATGGAAATAGATGAGAAGTAGAAACCGTCCAGTCTGTCAGAAGTTTGAGAGACTCCTTTTCTGTTGCTCCGCAGATTACAACTGAAAACGCTGCATCGACCGGCAGCGTCTCCATGGAAGCGTGGCGCCCAGCCTCCAGTTCCAGGTAAACGCCGAACGCTTTGCAGGCACTTGGGCCCTTGTTTGCTGTTAGCACCGAGAGCCAGGAGAATATTAGCCACGCAACCAATGTATAAAAACAGAAATGTCATGCAGTCATATCAATATGATGAAAAACATAAGGCTGTTTCATTAGTTTAATAAAAGAACAGGAAAGGTAACCTTCAATTACTTCTTGTGATCTGGTGCTATAAACACTAAAAACACTCTGAGGTCATTGTTTGATTTAAAACCTACTCTACTGGAGGACACAACAAATTACTCATGCAATTCTATATATTATGCAGAGAGCGTTGTGTATTTTGACACACATTTCTTTGTTGGGCCTCACAGTGGTAAAGCCGATGCATTTCGCGATGAGCTTTGGCTTTGATTCGCCCCACAAACAATAAATAAAAGCACTGCAGTCCAATGGGCTGGAACTGGCAAGAAGGAAACTGTTTAACTAAAGAGAATATATGCATCAAATGAAAAATATAAAAAAACACGCAATTATGTATGTGATTGGGTTAAGTATTTCCCTGCCAGCACACTGCTGCTACCATTAGAAGCTGTCCCAAATGGGCGGCTTCCAGGCCCGGGCGAGGCCCCAGAAAAACGTCAGCCCAGAATGGTGCCGTCTCCCGCTACGTCTCCCTTTCCTCAGATCCAGGGCCAGTTGGTCCCCCTCTTTCCCCCTCTCCTCTTTGCCGCGTTCAGCCCCTCTCTGCGTCCCAGATAATGGAGCTCAGCTTCTGTCTGCCAAAGGGTCCGTGGCTGCCCGGGAGTAATGACCTGAGGGGGTACTTTGTCACAACCAGGGTATAATAATGCCTCCAGCCACGGACAAAGCAGACCCTTGGGGTCAATTTTTAAATTCTTTTATGTTTTTCACCGAGGGTAGGAGTCATTTGTTTTTATTGCAGGTCATATACCACAAACACACTGCAAAAACAACACATTTATTCCTTGTAACAAGGAATATCAAGTGCGGTAAATATGGTTTATTTCAACGAGGCGTGGTTAAGTTCTGACGGAACCACACTAGCGCCGACCTATCGCTTCCGATGAAATGTCTTCCACTTTTCGACAGAATTTATCCGTCAAATGTCTGTAGGCCTGTTCCTCGGATCGAAATAGTTTTTATTGAGGCACGCAAGGGAGCGTGGAATCACCTGCCAATGAAAGGCTTCTCCTAATAGGTTAATTGTAACAAAAGCACAGGGTCTTGCCCCATTGAACAGAAGAGGATTGTGGAACACAGGCCTGTGGAAATGAAGTCAAACAATGTGCTGCCTGCTCTCCCCTGCAGGGCCGGAGTTAGTCTGTCAGCAGTTAAATGCTTACCTCCCACCCCTCCCTGAACACTCAACAATCAATTTACCTCCTCGGGGTCTATGAACCCAAAGATTTGACCTTCCAGACTCGGGCTTTGTTCCCCCACCCTCCCCTCATGTCTCACACCTCAAACAGTACTTATTAGAAAACGGACAGAGGGTTTGGAAGTTGCTTTTTAAATACTCAGAGCAGATTTACAGTCAAATGTTTCTGTCATCAAAAATCATTTGAAATTGTAAACATCTTTTAATGAATTCAATTTTGTATAGAAACAGTTCACTACAAGTCACTATTTTATTTTTCTTTGCTTTCTTTCTCCGTACTGCCATGATGTCATCAATAAAAAAAAGGGTCTTTTGAGTGCCTTTTAAAGAGCCATATAAATAAAATGTAGTGTTATTGTTGTTATTATATATTGCCGTTTTCAAAGAAGTTAGTTGAGAAGATGATCCACACCATGATGCTACAGCTAGCAGCTAATTAGCATAGCTTAAAATCTGGAAAACAGGGATAAGCATCGAGCTCTGTCCTACGCAACCATTTCTAATTAAACAAACAAACAAAACACACACACAAACACCCACACAGTGGTATGAATATTCCTATTTAACTGTCATTTCCTTAAATATAAACCAATTTCTGGAATGTAATATTAGAAAATCACAGCATACACACTTTTGTTTTGGCAGGCTGTGCTGACAGGGGAAACCGTGAAAGAAGTCACTGCTGACTCCACCGCTGCCTGCCAAGTCTGCAATGACACGGTAATACGGAAACAAAGCCAATTCCTGACAAATGACTACTCGATTAACTGCAATGGCCTCGCGAATAGACGCAAATGAATCCATCTCACTGACAACAACAAAAAATGTATGAAAACAGCAAAGCAGTTTTCCGTAGCTTAAGATTTTACAGTTGATTTATCTTCTGGTTGATGGGTACACAGCCCCGGGATGTCTTTGTGTCAATCAAAGACTTCAAATCCCAAGATTTATTCAGTCCCCCTCCTATTTGTACAGTAACCAATGGTGATAGTGCAAACCCAGCAAGGTGCCAGCTAATTGGGCATACTGGGAATAAAGAAACAGAGAAAAGCCGGCACCGTTTTCTCTCATGTTATTGAAACTGTTGATGGTTCAACACAAATCTTTCTTTGGAGTGTGCAAAGACAGCTTTGTAGTGAAACATTGTATGCTCTCAAAGATTACCTATAGGGAGTTTTTCACTTCTTGGTTCATGGTGTTTTAGTTCATAGCAGAGTAATGGCACCATCACCTGCTTCCAAATCAGTCTAATCCCAGACACGGAGCTGGCATATACCTTTTCCTTTCATATTTCATCAACTTTTGAAGGAAGTGTCCTTCAGAGACCCAGAAGAATGTCGGTTATCTACTGTGTCTTGCACCAATAGCAGGTCAACATTTTAATTTATCCTATAAAATGTATAATTATCTACCCTACAAACATGCGTGGTTCCCATGACTGCCTTTCCTCCACATTAAGGTTGACATTTTGGAATTTGTCCAGACATTACATGTCACTTAGCTGACGCTTTTATCCAAAGCGACTTACAATAAGTGCATTCAACCATAAGGGTACAAACTCAGAAGAGCAAGAAACAAGAAAGTGCCATTTCCTCAAATAAGCCAATTTACAATTTGCTATAGATAAGTGGCGTTACAAGTACAATTTAAGTGCTACAATTTGTTAGTCTTTTGGGGGAGGTAGAGTCTGAAGATGTGAAGGCTCTCTGCGGTCCTGGTGTCTTCAGAGAGCTCGCGGGTATTCTGTGTTAACTGTGGACGGGTACATTCCTAGCCTTGTGTTCTCATAAAAAGGTACTCATGGTACTATATATGTAAAAATATAAAATAACAAAATAAACAAGGTTGGTGGCTTAACAGTAAGAACCAAGAAGCATCTGAGGTTAAAAGCAGATTTAGATACATTTGTTTCTGTAATGTTGCTTTATATTACACACAATTTCAGTACTTTTACTGGTCAATAACCAAAATGAATGTTTTTAAAAATAAGTTACCGCATACAGCCCACATGTCTACATTGTTTTCTCAATTTGACTTTTTCCTAGCTCCTGGCTTTTGTCAGACCGAATAGAGGAGTTCGAAGCGTCCACTGTTTAATTGCTTGTGTAATAGCAATAGTAAAGCCTTTGACATCGCTCTCTGACTTTCGTGAGGAGGCTCGGCCCGCGCTAACCGCTAAGAGAACACCACGTAGTTTGTGTTGGTGGAGTTTCCAGTTGCTGAGGGGAAGATGGAGCGGTCGAGGAAGTATCCGCGTGGGGGAAGAGCTGCAGCAGCAGAACTCAGCTGGAGTGGGTTACTTGAGGGAACGCTTCGGGAGTGGGAACAGAGCCAAAAGAGCGAGGGAAACATACTTCACTTTATTGATTTTGTCGATCGTCTTAAATGAGGGGCACTCCAGGCCAAAGGCTCACCTCTGCATTTTCTCTCTTTGCTGCTCTGGCAGACAAGAAGCAGCCGGTGCAGGAACTGGGAGAGAGGAACTGTGTGTATACAGCGTGTGTGTGTATGAGAGAGAAAGGGCACATTTTAGTCAAGTTCTTGCTTACTTAAGTTTAAGATTTGAGAAGGTGTTGTGTGTGTGTGTTTGTGTTGTATGAACCTTTCGTTGCTGTTCGTGAGGCTGTGCTCAGCCTCTGGTGTCTGTGGTGTGAACGAACCCATTGCTCGGATCACATGCATCATCTTGAAGTCCGGAGATGGAGATGGAGTGCGTCCGCAAAACACACCCACATGTGCCCCCACATGACCTTCTGTTTTACACCAGAGATGCGCTGCGCGATTGCGACTTATTCATCAACCGTGACTTGGTTATGAATGGCTTCTTGAGGCAAATATTGATTAAGTCAAGCGCAGCGTCACTTGGTTAAAGCAAATGTCCATAAGCAATTACGACTTGCGGTCTCGTAGTATTTTCCATGTTTGCTTTGGCTGACATCCTCATTTGTTTCCTATTCCCATACGTCCTGTCAGGTGGGACAGGATTTCTTTTTGCGTGCAGTGTCAATAGTTATTCAATATCCACTAACCGGAAGTTTTCCCCTCTTTCCCTCGAGATGCAGCATTTGAGTCACGGTAACATTGAAGTCAAGACCTGTTACGGTTTTAATATTTTTCTTTTTAGCAACAATTTTTAAATATTATAAGAACCCGCAAGAGGTGAATAATATAGAATAATAATAAATATATATATATGTATTTTCACTATTGTGGACATTCCAATGAGGACAAAAGACTGGATAATAGCTATATCATGAGATTTAACAAGATTATTGTTAACAACAATTCAATTATTATTTCCGCCTGATAATATGCCTAGAAGGGATCTCCGAATACACAACATTCTATTTCCACGTTGCTGTAAATCCAATTCTGCTGTAAAACATTGTGCCACAGAACAGAAAACTCTTAACAGCTGAGGAATTTCTACCGACTCGCTCTCTCGCATTACACAACACAGATATTGGTGACTACTGCGAACGGCCGTCGCTGCTTATATGCAGATATCATTAGTGGTTACCATCGTAACTGTGAAATGTAACGTGAGCGTCTCAAACTGAGTTAACTTAATGACCACACAAGAAGGACTGAGCGATTAATTCAATATTCTAAAGTATCGTCCTAATAGAATCGTACCCTGATGAAATCAAGATATCGCGAAACACATCACATTGTCTACAATATTAGCAATTGTCTAACTCGATGATATAGGGGGAAAAACAGTTGAGTTAACGGGATTACTCATGCATCTAAACTAGGGCTGCAACTAACTGCAAGATTATTTTGATAATCGATTAATCGTAGATTATTTCTTTGATTAACTGAATCAGATAAAACAGCATTTAAAAGCTTTAATTTCCAACCATTTATTCTTAAACAGAACTGCAAATTCACATTGCAAAAATACTTCAGAAAGTCAAGACAGGATTTGTTTTAACATCAGAACGTGTTCTCTATACTCACTTAAGGCCTCAAGTACATTATTGGTTTTAAAATACAGTTACCAGCGAATTTAAAAATAGTAAGTAAATAGCTGTCTTTCAGTACAAAACCGTTGTAGCCACCAAACGTTGTGTATCTCATTTCAGTACTCTAGATAAAAAATAGTCCCCGTACGTGCATGCAAAAGGCATTGGGTCTCGCACCATCTCATTCATTCACATCGTTGATGACGTCCACCTCAATTGTACGGTGGCGAAAGCTCGCATTGCCCGAAACCGATCATTTGTGGGATTTCCGGGTCTTATTTCGGCGATCTGCACCGAGCTAAAAGCTAAAATGCCAGCTAACAGTCTCGCAGTGATACAGAACGCTGGATTTCATCTACCCGTATTATAAACTACCGTGTATGACAGCATTAAAAAGTAGAACATATACAAATATATTTGTCAACAATAACCTAAATGGGACAAAGCATGAAATACAAGACAACAGATTGAAAAATGAACGCTCCAAAAAAGGCGAGTAAATAAGAGCGTGTCTTAGCTCGCTAATAACAGCAGTAAAGAAGTTAGCGAGCTAACGCTAGCTTGTTGCCTGCTGGAGGCTCCTTACGTTCCTCGCGTAAAAGCGGGACAACGTGGTGGTTCCGTGCCACATTACGTTGACTATGCATATTTTGCTATTGACACTTTTTTAGTTCCTTTAAGTGTGAAATGCTCAGACACCTTGGACGACTTAACTCAAACAGACTTTTCTGCCTACGTCGTGTGACAACAGCTGCTGGCTCCTCTTTCCTCTACGTCGGCTCGGCTCTTTTTCATTTTTTTCTCAGCGCGAATCTCCGCAACTCATTCAGTGACGTGATTATCGCTAATGAAATTTGTGAAATTAAATACTTTTAATGATCGATCTTTATTGATTTCATCGATTCGTTGTTGCAGCCCTAATCTAAACGTAGTCTGTAGCGGGAAATATTATGTTCTTCTTTATAATTCCCCTTTGAATGTGTTGATGAAATGTACATGAAATGTATGATGAAGTATTATGATAAAATGTGTTGTATTAGCAAAACAACACGCTATATATCACACAAAATATACATAATTAGATATGAAATGACTTCCGTGGTGAAAGAAGATTTTGACCATATTGCCCAGGCCCCAGTCATAATGCTCCACATGCGTTGAGTCAGTGCAACATGCGACCGCAGTAATCAACAAAATTGTCACACTGGAGGTGACTGCCGGTGCAGCTGAAACAAGGAAAAAATCCTTAATTTCTGTGATAATTCATTAATTATTCAGGTTATTTGCTGACTCGGGCTTCCGAATTGTGAGGATTTATTTAGCCTTTTCTTATTCTCACATCATAATACACATAATATCCTTTTTATAGATTTTGGTGCTTTGATGGACAAAACAAGTAATGTGTTACTGCGATGGGCATTTCTTATTATTGCTGCAGACTAATGCACGATTAATCTTACTCGTGAAAATAAAAGGCAGATTATCCGTTGATGAAAATAATCTTTAGTGGATGCCTTGGAGCATGTTTGGCTCTTTTCTACTAATTGCCGCAAAAAGTTGTATTTCATTACAATACATTACTGAGCACTCACTGCCTGCAAACCTCAAAGATTGAAATCCCTTTCAGGTCTTCATTTGCTCCTCCTGCAGACTTGTGCCTTGTGATAAATCACACTGCGTTGTTACTCTGCGGCTGCTATTGTTGTGGATCGTGACATATGTTACAAGGTGAATGTTTGGTATTGAACCTGTTTTTATCTCTGTTGGTTTTGAATCTCCCTGTTATCCTTTACGATTGCCTTATCTCAGACAATAACAGTTTAGCTGTGTTGAGGGAATTGATCATATTGCTTTGCCCCCCCCCCTCTGCAGCCTCTTGTTCTCGTCGTCCTACTTCTCATCTTCATCTGCGTCTCTGTTAAAACTACCTTAAGCTCCTTTATCTTTAGTTCCTCTCATTTCATTACGCAAAATCCCAGAGAAACCACCGGGCAGGATCAGTCGGTCCCACCCAGCTCAACGGT